GGTAGGTAGGTTAGTTACAAGAGGGAGGCTATGGAGGGAGGGGAGGAGTGTAGAACTGGGCAGAGACACCTGTTCAGGGGACAATAGAGACACTGCCACAAGAGGCACAGATGGGTCCCAGAAGTGAAGCCCTGGAACAGAAATCCCAGAAATGTCCTCCTGGCTTTCCCTGGAGCATAGGAGGTCTCTGTCTGTGGGCATGAGGTGCAATGGGCACAGCATGGCACCCAGCCTTCTCCCCTTCACCACACGTGGACGTCTCCCCCAACTCTGGCCTGCATTTGGCCCTCTGTCCCTCCTGCCCAGCCACTGACCTGGGCTTGGGGGTGCTGGTTCCTTGGGGAGGCAGGGAGACTCTGGGGCAACCCCAGCATCTCCATTTGGTACCTGCTCTTCGAAACCTGCAGAGACATAGCACTCAGGGGTGGGGCCGGGAAGAGGCTGGTGCCTCCCAGTGAGATCAGATCTCTGCTCCCCATTAGCCACTGACTCTGCCTGAGACCCACCCCATCAGGGGCAGTGGCTGGAGTCCTTACAGGGACATCACCTGGAGCCCTTTGCCCATGGGCCCCCCTCCAACTAAGCAGCCCCCTCAGCCTGAACCTGACAGTTGACTCAGTGCCTACAGAGCACTCATCCTGGGGGCCTGACCTGGGATACTTCTCAGGAAGGTTCCCATGGGCCTCGGCATGTCAGGGATCACCCTGTACAGGGGCTCAAAGTAACCAAACATGTCAGGTGCCACCTCATCCAGAGGCACTGTATCGATCACCTGTAGGGGATAAGGTTTATTGGAGAGTAGCTGGCTCCTTCCCCCCCTGCCCTCCTATCCCTTTGAGCTGGGCCCCCTCCACCAGGCTCCTGTCTCATAGCCTCCACCTTGTGCCTAGCCAGAGACCGGAGACAGGTTGGGGGAAGCGCATGAAGGTGATAATTCCCAAAAAGTGTCAACGTGCAGGAAACATAATGGCGGCAGCAATAGAAAGGTGGGGGGCAGGCCACCTGGCTGGGAACTTGGGGACAGAGAGGAGCCCACAGCCTATCCCTACCTTCTGTGCCACCACCTTCATCTCAGTGATGTAGGCAATCATGGCCTCCTCCCTACTCATCTTGCCCAGGCGGTTCCAGGCATCCCTGGGGGCAGAGAGCTGTGAGAGGCTGGTTGACAGCAGGGGCTTGTTTGCCCAGCTGGTGGAGAGCTCACCACTTATATCGTCCAATGGGATCCCAGAACCCAGGCCGGGGAACAAGGCAGGGCCCCATGGTAGCCTGCTTGTAGTAGCTGTAGAATCGAAGCATCTCTTCATAGGAGGGGCGGTAATAACCTGGGAAGGAAGTTGGGGTGTGGAGAGCAGAGCATCGCCCCCAGCTCCAAGGGGATGGAGGTGGGGGGAGAACCACCCTAGGAGAGGACAGAAATAGTGAGGCGTCTACCAGGGGCAGGAGGTAGAGGGGAACCAGGGGCGGCCCAGGCAGACACTTGTCTGCAAAAACTGAAGGGATAAAAGCGTCCTGGGAGGCAGACCCCAGCCATCTTGACCCCCAAATGCAGGTCCTCGTGCCCTCACTTACTGTTGTTCTTAGGCAGGTTCTGAATGACTCTGACTGCAGCCTGGAACTGTTCCTGGCAGTCCGGTTCTGGGATTTCTTTCTCGGTACCCATCCCCAGCTGCTCCGAGCCCTGGGGCCCTACTTTTGAGCAACTCTGCAAGAACAAGCCTCCGTGTGAGCAGGCCTCCAGGTTCCACTCGGGCACACACCTGAGTAAGCCAATCTGATCCACTTTCCAGAGGGGCAAACTAAGCCTTTTAGAGACCTGAGTGAGATACCCGAGGAGGTCAGAAGCTGAGGCTGAAGAGTCCTTTTCCTACCCCAAGGCAGCTGGGGAGGGTGGAGAGGACCTCGGTGGTTGGGTGGACAGGCAGGTGGTAAGGGGTCGCAGTGCCCCTCTAGATGCGCATCTCCAACTCCTAGANAGCCATAGGCTTCCTACTGACCTCCGGGCCCGGTCTGCCCGGAATCGGGACGTAGAGCGAGGGGGAATTTAAGCCAATGAGAGAGCCCGTTTCAGATTCGGCCTCTATGCTCCAGCCACTCAGCGCGTCCCTTTCAAGATTATGCAAATAGTTAGCTGTGCCTCTCGCAATCGGGCGGGGCGAATCCGCGGGTTGGCTCCTCTACCCTGACTGCCGGAGGCGGACGGAAGCGCCTCCTGGTGGACATAGTGAAATAACACGGAGCACTCGCGCCCCCTGGTGGAAACCAGCGTCCGTCAGCTCAACCCAAATCTCTTCAGACACCTACCAGTCGCTGTAAATAAAATAGGGAGTCATGCCCTGGTCAGTGTGGCTCAGTTGGTTGAACGTCCTCCCGTGCACACCAAGGTCGCGGGTTGGATTCCTGGTCAGGGCACATATAAGACTCAACCAATGAATGCATAAATAACTGGAACAGCAATTTCTTTCTCCCTCTTTCTCTCTTAAATCAATTTAAAAAAAAGTTGCTAGGAGAAGAATGAGGAAGGTCATTCTGGAGGAAAGAATTGCTGGATCAGAAGCGCAGAGAAGACTCAACATTCAGAAATAATATCCAGAAAGGGATGAGACCCAACCCAGCATGAGGGACCTCTGAGTTGAGGATAACTGAGCATGGGGTAGAGCCTGGGCCAGTAGTTGGAAAATCTATGTCCTGATGGCACACTCTTGGCAGCTGCTGAGTGGCAGGTGGTGGGTGTGCAATTAGCTCTTCGCTGGCCCCAGGGCACTTGAGGCAAACAATGTGTGCACTCCCTACCACTCTTCATGAACAAATATGCAGGTGTTTGTTTTTGTTTGTGTGGGGTTTTTTTAAATGTTTTTATTGATTTCAGTGGGAGGAACGGGGGAAGAGAGAGAGAGAGAGAGATAGAGAGAGAGAGAGAGAAACATCAATGATGAGAGTCATTGATTGGCTGTCTCCTGCAGGCCCCCTACTGGGGATCCAGCTGCAACCTGGGCATGTGCCCTGACTGGGAATCAAACCATCACCTTGTGGTTCACACGTCTAAGCTCAGCCACTGAGCCAGGCGGAGGGACGCAGGCGGTTTTATTCATAGTAAGTGTACACATGTCACCAGAACCCGCACTCCACGCTCACCTACGGGTTGATGTCACCGACATCTACGTAGCATGCAGCGGCTCTCCTGGGACAATCAAGCAGGTGAGGGTACCAAGCCTAGAACCTCAGAACCCAGCTCTGCCGACGACTGTAGTCTTCTAGCCACCCCACCCTCTCCAGACCAGTCAACTTCGAGACGCTACAACTGAGAGGTTGGCAGCTGGCTGGGTGCAGAGAGAGTTAATCCTATGAGGTCACAGCCAAGAGCCTTCCTATCCACCCACCACTTCCCGCTCCCCCACTCCTCCTGTTCGGGCGGTCCTGCCGTCCGCCTCAGCTTCCAGGGCCCTATCCACTTTCGGAGACCAGTACCCTTGGCCCGGGACAAGCCACCCTGCAGACCCGGCCCCCGCCCCTAAATGGCTCCCTTCTGAAGCTTCCCGGTGGGCCTGGAAATGGTGGAGAGGGGTCCTGAGTCGGCACTGTGTTCAAGGTCCAGAGAAAAGTGCGCGATGGCAACCCTCGCCCCCTCCAGTGCCCCAGTGGAAGTGCAGGTCATTTATGAGGCTGGGATCCGAAGATCTTTTGGCGAATAGGGACTCACGAGCCGGGGGCGAAAGATGAGACTCGGGGGAGGATGGCTCGGATCGGCCCCCACCCCATACTTAAGGGAGGGCCCAACTCCCACCCCAACTCCCACCCCAGCTCCCATCTTGGAATCACC